CTGCGTGTGTCGAAGGATGTGTGGCGGGGCGTATGATGGATGACCTGTTGATTTGCTGAGATTGTGTTGGAGGACCCGGTGTGTTCGGTACATGATGCTTGGCGGGCGGCAACGTGATCAGCGTTGCGAGGCATCAGAGGAAAGACGGATTGGTGCAGCGGGACGGTGCTGGGGGATATAGTGTGGTTGGTGCGAGGTGTCTGATACATCGTTGGCTGGGGTGTTGTTGCAACTTCAAAATTGGACTTGGCGGCGTTGTCGAAACGTAGATAGCTGTGTGGTTGTTGAAAAGGTGAGTTGGAATGGGCTTCTAGAACGCGTTGTTTGAAGATGTCGTATGTTGGCCACGTTTTGTTAGGGGTAGGTAGATTTGCGCCCACACTCCAGCTCAATGACCACAACTTCCGCGAATGGGACATCTACTTCCGCGGGAAGCTCATGATGAAGGGAATCAGTACCTGACTCACACGCCAACGTCAGCTACCTTGGACGCGAGCAGCGACGACCAGAAGGCATTCGGGATCCTCATCGATACGTTGGAACCCAGCCAGTACCGCCACATCGGAGGCTACACGCGCGTCCGCATCGCCTACGAAGCACTGGTAGCCCACCATAAACCAACGACGAAGATCGACCGGATTCAGGTCGCGATGGATTAGGCCAAGCTGTCGTGGGACCCGCGCCAAGAGACTCTACCGGACTTCATCTACCGATTCCAGATCCTCGTCCAGCGCCTATCGGACGTGAGAGCCACAGAAACAGATTCGAACCAAGTGGTCAAACTACTGCCTTGGTGCCATGGGAGTTCCACCAAATCGTCGATCGCTTATCGAACCTTCCCGACAGCAAGCAAACCGTCGCCAAGACGAAGATCGCGCTTGAAGCCGAGTGGAAGGCAGCCGTCCGGAACGGCTCCATCAAAACACCACGCGGCCAAGCCAAGGAAGACCACGCCTTGTTCGCGGCTGGTGACCGAGGCGCCAAAGGAAGCAGTGGTCGCGGAAGTGGCCGAGGTCGCGGCGCGTCCCGAAGTGGCCAAGCCGAACGAAGCGACCGTTCCTCGGCCAAGGGCACCTACCACTACTGTGGCGAAGAAAGGTACTGGCAGTCCGAGTGTCGCAAGAAGGCCTGCGAGAACGGCGGCCAAACCCCAGAGGGCATCGGTGCGACGGGAAGGAAGACCACTCCAATGCAGCCGTCTAGATGTTCTCGGCGACTGAAAACAGCGTCGACATGATAGACCTAAGCCAAGGAGAGTCCGACGATGAGACGAAGAACGATGACGGACAACCTACCCAAGACGCGGCCGAAGACAATGGACCCATCTTCCTGGGAGAACCCTGCGAGGCACTTCCGCTACGCACCGACCCAGACTGGCACCCTACAGTCCCATCAGTGAGACTATTGTTCATCAACAACAGCTGAGCAAACTTGCGAAATTCTCTGGATATTTTTTATACGCGTGTCGACAAAATTGACTCGTGGAAATAGTGACTTGTGCGTAAGATGGGATGACATGTGCACGCGACCGGACGACCTGTACATACACCAGGATATTTAACGCCTTTACTCTAGTAGGCAAGTTCAAATGCGTGTTTCTAGCCTTAACCAGACCGAGAAGTCCCAGTTTTGTGTGTGTGGTCTGTCTGGAGCGGTTTATTATTGGTGTTTTGATCGAGACAAGGCAATTAAACCACATGGGCAATTTAGTGGAAAAACACAATGTGCCAGGTACATTCTGACCACAACCATGTTTTGCATTTTTGTGCAGTCAACTTAAAACTGCTGCTTGCCTGCGTCTACTTCAGCTTTGAACGGACGTTTAAGCCGTAATTTCGATTGGCCCGTTCAATCCCAACACAAGCAACAGTTCGGGTTGTCGATGGGTGCAGTAATAACCGAGTAGCAATTTAACCAAGCAGTCTCTTTCGGTCGCCAGTGTTGGAGGAATGAGCTGTTGCCTCGGTCGACCGTGGCTGCCTCCCAACCGCTCATGCTGCACATGGTGGCGTCTCTTTCGATGGAATTTTTGCGTGGTCAAAGATGTGCCGCGCTTTGGGAAGGCCTGCTATATAGTGGCTCTGTTATTGCCGTCCATCGCCAGCTGACGGGTTGTACAGCCAAGAGTTTCTCGAAGCGCGTTCTGACGCAATAGAGTCCATCGCAATACAAGAAACATAGCATTTCACACCAATCCATCCTAGTTGTACACATATATATACACGCCTCCGTGACGCCGTGTCGGCTCCGGCGTGGCCCACCATGCTGGCCCGATCGCTCAAGACAACGTGGCGATGTAGGACGGGCATTGCGGGATCGTGATAATGTTGCTGCTGCCTTCGGCAACTCCCACCGCAGCGCTGGGGTAGTCGTCGTTGAACAGACTGAATAGCCGAACCAACAATTGGAATAGCCGACGTGAAGCAGGTTGTAGCCGACGACGTGCAAAAGAGGCCACAGTTGAACGGAGTAGC